CCAAACTATTTCGGGAATGTTAATTTGGTTGGATTTCTTTCAACTGCAGTCAGAGAATGCAGAAACTACCGATGGCAATGCAGTTTGGATATTTTTTTTATATATCAATGTATTTTGTCTTTATTCACTTCCGTTCTCTTGCCAAAAGCTGTGAAAAGGTAGAAAAATAACGAGACTAGAGTTGGCTGGATCAATGTGTACAGATAGTCAGCAGTTTTGTGATTACACGTATGAAAAATAACCAATAGAAAAATTTCCCACTTCTCTGAGATATTCTGGTGAATTTTTTGAAAATATTCCACTTAATTTTTTCATTATTACACGGTAAAATAGAATTTTTCAGTGGAATTCTCATGGAACTTTAGGAGAATTCCAGCAGAATTTCGAGTAAAAATTTCATGGAATTTATCAGAGAAGGCGAAAAATTTTTTTATTGTGTTTTTTTCATGTGTGTAGAACCTCGACCTCTCACCCTTCAATTCCCATCAAACTTTCAATTAATTATTAATTGATTCTTGTATCATTAATTTAAGAAAAAATGAGGGGATTTTTGAGGGTGAGATTCGCTGGCGGAACAACGCATGCGGTGGATTTTTAAAAACCACCAAAATAATGCTAATTTCAAAGTGACACTTTCTTTCTCTCTTTCTTAGCCGCTATGATTCCCTACGATTTAACAGTTTATCATTTTCCATTTCTGGGATTGTTTATTCGTTATCGTTTTCAATACTTTTCATCACAGGCTTAATGAGGGCTGTTTAGGATAAAGGATTAATTGTTGAAGTGGGGAAAAATACTTAGGTTTGAATACTCATGTTGGCTGATTTTTTTTTTTTTTATGTTAAATATATCAATGAGAAATATGGATCGAGGAGGATAATTATGAGTGGATTTGCCTTGGGGTTTGGGAAAAAGTTGCGAGGAACTCAACTCCTATTTATTTATTATTTTTTAGAATAAAAATTTGGAAAACTTAAACAAAATTTTCCCAGATTCCAAAATCATTATAAAATTTTAATTTCTTCAATTTTCCTCGTCAAATGCCAAATTAGGGTAAATTTAATGCCAAATTTCTCAACGAAAATACATAAAACGGTGAAATACGAGTTGATTGTTCCCCACATTTTTGTTTTTTTAATTGAACGAGTGACGAAAAAAATGACAAATGCCCTTGTGGTCTGAATGTCGTGTGCGGAATTTTTTTTTACACGTTACCGACCCAGATGGACTCTCCAGCTGACAATACCCTCCTACATTCACCTCTTTCCCTCCCACATTGCCATTTTTTGTCATCCCCGCCAAATGCAAACAAGCGGTAATGTACAATATCGATTTCCATTCAGCTGCTTGTTTTCAGCGTCAGCTGGAATTTAAAACGTCGATCCGAGGCTTAATGATCAGATGAGTGGAAACAGGCAGTAAAGAGATTAATAAACAAAATGATAAATTAAAAAATAACAGTGCCTTATCACATTGTAACAATCAACTGCATAGCAGAGGTAACAAACAAAATAATGAGGATTTTTGAACGATAAAATCACGACGATTTCACATTATGTATAATTTCAGTGAATTTTCTTAGACTAGGCTATATTTTTTCTTTCTTGAGTAAGCTTTGTCATTTTAATCTTCACGTTTTTAATTCATTAGGATTTTTGACAATTCTTTAACGATGCAATGGTCGAGGCTTTTCTCGAAGATTTTTTTTACAGTGGCCGAAGCCAGTTACGCTGAGAGAAACATAATCATTTTGACGGAGAAGATTTTCCAATAAAAAAGAATATTCTCTTGTCAACTACTCAAGTTACGGGCTAGCCAAGTAATTAAAATCTCAGTATCGGTTCCAAAATCTTCATCACCGCAATTCCATTCGAAATTTTTCGAGCTTAAAAAAACCGAAGAAATTATTTTCGTCCATCCCGTAAATCTTCTCTGTCAAAAGTCATTAAAAAATCTCCCTCTACAGAGTGCAGCTAACGATAGTAATTAAAGAATAAGGTTTTTCTTTCAATATCGCATTATCTTTCATTCATTAATGAGTTACTCGTGTCTAACTTTGGTCCGTGGAGCATTTTATATTTTTTAGATAATAAATATATGACTTCTTTAATTATAGCGTAGCTTAGTAAATTGTATCGACTAGGGATGACTCACTTGACAGCGCATGAGGTATACAAAGTGTGTAGCCATTACTCATCATTTATTCCACCTTTGCCTATTCGTTTTGCATTTTTTTTTTCGCATTTATTATTATTATTTTTTATTCGCCACAACCAATCCAATGTTTGGGGGTGATTTTTTAATTTAATTCCTCCTATGGCATTTCTTTTACGTATTCGTTGTGTCAATTGCAACAGTGTTTATTAATTTTATAGTTTATTTATTATAAATGGATTTTTGGCGCTCTGATAAGGTGCTTATTACTGTAATTGGTGCGAGGGGTGACTGGAGTTTTTAATTATCATTGCAAAAGGAAATATTCGTAATTGTCCGATTAATTTACTCTACTTTACTCCAATGACACTGGGTCGATTATCTTTAGATTTTTCTTTTATCTTCTTGGTTAATTAATTTATGAGAAATTACGAGTCTAGAATGAATAATTTACAGGTGATTGTCTCCTTCGGTATTTTTTTATTTATTCTCGGGGTGGGAATGTCGGGGAATAAACAAAATATCGGAGGAGATATTCCAATGGACGCTTTGAGTGTAAAAAAATTTATAGATATATAGTTTTTATTTTTCTTGCGAGATTCTATTGGGGTGAGGCGATCTTTGGGGGACGAGTTTAATATTGTGGTGCTTGAAAATCTTATGTAGACAAATTTTTGGAAAATTTTGGAGATTAATCCACTGATTTTTGTCGGCGATTACATTCATTTGGTGGAGACGGGGAAGCGGAGTAATTGGCGAATTGGATTTTTGATGATTCATGCGAACTCAATTATTCGGTACTTCAATTAAGTGAAAATTCATTGCGGAGTAGTTTTTTTTAAATTAATCCAAAATTTTTTCACTTTACTTTAAAAAATCCACAATCACAGGCAAAATTATTGAGAATTATAAATTTCGGTGTAATTATTCCAGCAATTATTCCAAGTTAATGACTATTTTTTAAAATCCTGAATATATAATAAAATTTCTAGATTTAAAATCGTTTTTCCAAAAATTAATCAACAATTGGAGTGTAATAATAGCTTGAATTTTTTTGAGTAAAAGTCGGTAACGAAGTGGTGAAAAAAAAATCGTTATCTCCTCCAGATTTAGAGCTGAACCGTTGTAACACTTCACCCTGAATTTTCAAAAATATTTTTGCTGGGATGAAATGATTTTTTTGGGTTTTGGTAATTTATCATCGGCATAAATTACCAAATACCGATGGATTAGACTCAAACATTTACTCCACTTCACAATTTATCACAAAGCAAAAGAGTATCCACTCGATTTAGATCGTGCCTCGAGGGTTTTCTCCTCAATTCAACGTTAAAAAGAAGACCCCCAGGTCTCTCTCGTCAAGTGTCGATGTGCTCGAAACAACAAACACCTCGTCAAAGTGAACAAGTACTCCTCTAATTTTTTCACCTCATGTTTCACGTAAAAAAAGTGCGCCTACTGATTTTTTCCATTTTTTTTTTCATCGTTTTTAAATCATTTTGTCTTTTTTTTTGGCAGTCAGTTTCAGATAAGATCTGAAAGTGTTGGTGGTACGCAGTGATTATTTATTTGAATTTCAATTTAATTCCTCTTTAACTCTCGTTTACAATTTTTTTTTAAAGGACGTTTTCCCCCTTTATTTCCCTCGAGTGAGGGAAAATTCTCGCGTTCCTCCGTGTTTTAATTAAACTTTTGTAGCGGAAATAAATTATGCGCTGGAATTCTATCACGTCTACGTCGTTTAATTCCCATATGTCAGAGTTTATTTGTTTAAAAAATTAGGAAAATTAGAGATTATTTATTTGCGGTTTACGGTTGATTAGTAGTTGAGTTTTATCGACAATTTTGACTTTCTCGAATCTTTTCGCACTATTTTTCGCCGGAGAGCAACAACTTCTTCAACTTCTCTTTTTTTTTTACTTTCATTTTCCTTACGAGGTACAACTTCATCGTCAATCATTTGCAATCTTCACATGGAGAGAAATTATTTATGAAAACTCAGTGGCGAAGGGATAAACTGCAATCAGAAGAATTCAGAGTTTTGGTTAATTATCGATTTATCTCGAAAAATATTGAGTTGAGATGAAAGTACCAGTGATTTTTTTTATAGCCCATTAAGTTTACGACAAAAAAGATCTTTTGATATTTCTCTCGAAAATCAACATGTTTTCTGATAAATCGAATTTAATAGAATTATAAAATCCTATTTATCTCACTTTATGAATTAGCGACTGAATAAAAAATTCCAGCACTGGAAATTTCAATGTGTAAATTCATCGTGAATTTTTCTCGTATTGATATGCAATTTTCACACAAATACGCATTAATTTTACTTCAATTTTCTCGGTGAAAAGTTTTTCAAACATTTTCTCTCCACGCATAAATTTTCTTCAATCACCTGACAGAGCAGTGATCCTGTGAGAACATTTTTGGGAACAGATTGGCCAGATCTTCACCGAAAAGAATAATTTCTTGAAATGGAAATTGATTAATAAATTGATAACCAATTTATGGACATTTTCTTAATTGTTTCAATTCCGGTAAAACTGACGGAATCATTAAATCCCTCTGACGAGACTCAATTCCCGATTTAATGACCAATGATTTTGTCCCCAAAAATGTTTCGACGGGAGATTTAATCTCAGAACTTGAACATTGAGATGGTAATATAATCTACACATTTGGAAAGTTCAAATGAACTATTCGATTCTAGGCTAAAGAGTTTCTCGAGTGTCAATCGTGTTGATAAATATTTTTTACAGAGATGCACATCGGGTGTTGATTTTTTTTTCGTCAATTTAGCGTCTGGAGCTTGGCTGATTGATGATATTTTCTGGTTGATGTTTCTAGGAGACACCCTTGTAGTGGTAGAAGAAGAACACCAGGAAAACAGAGTAAGCGATGGGAAATAGGACCCTTGCTATGACGTCTATGGTTTTAGCGACTCGAATCGGATGGGGTGGCTCTTTTTTCCGGACCTGCACAAAGCAGCACTACTCAGGGTCATTATAGGGTCATCTCACGCATGCACTACACACATAACATCCATTTTTTGTGGTTTTTCTTTGGGGAAAAGATGCAGGAATTACCGGAAAATATGCGGGGGCTCGATTAAATTCATTGACCGATAAAATTGATAGACTTGATAATTGCGTAATGCATTTTTTTTATTGTTGAAAGAATCGAAGCGAAAGGTAATTGATGAAAAAATATTATGTCAAATTGGGTAGAGAATTTTAGGGAGAACAAACAAGTTGACGGTTAATTTGGAAAAAAAGTGTTCCTAGAAAATGGAGTACGTGTTGCAATAAATCAACTTAATGATGCTTTTGAAAATTCAGTGGCCCCTGTCCTCCCATCAGCGGGAAAGCACTTTCAAAGGGAATTATTTTCAAAGTGTCGTTGCTGCGTTGCCAATCGAGTTCTATGGAAATTTTGTAGCCTCTCCAATTTGCAAATTGACTTGGGGACTGGCAGTATTCAAATTTGTCCCTTGGCATTAGCATTTAACATTGCGTTGTTTGTTTGAGCAGATCATCCGGGGATTAGCCGTTTAAATTCGGCCTTGCATGATATTTACTTATTAATCAACATGAAAATTGAATTGTCAATCCATTTTTATCGACCCCGACTAATAAACTTAAACGACACTAATTATTAAACTATCAATTAAAATTATTTGATCAATAATGTGGCAACATTAAATCAAATTTTACAGTTTTTTTTGCATATGGATTAATTTAAAAAATATTGATTGGGGAGCGATAGTTTTCGAGATAAGTCGATCATTAAGAAGAGCTGTAAATTTGATTTGACTTGTTTTAGCAATTTTTAGCAATTATCATTTGGGGAATCATTTGTTTACTGAGTCAAGTAATAAATAATTGAGTTGCTGAAAAAATTGTCTGTTCTTAAATGCTCTTTGGGTTTTTTTTGGATCTACAAATATCTTGACAATTCAATTTTAATGCTTCATGATTTTAATTGATAAAAAATATTACACGAGGGGTTAAAAACAGTAATTACATCATACACACCAATTACGCGACATTCATGCTAGGTATACATATAAAAACACCTATAACTATCACTATTTTCATACTGAGAAAAAAAATTAAACAACAACAACATTCACTGCCCCGGGAAAAATTATTTATTCAAATCAAATAAATCATGAAAAAAAAAACAAGCTGAAACTGGCATTAAAAATATTTTTATCATTACCAGTAAATTTTTCTTCGAGACAATAATGAGAATAAATAAATAATCAATATTCAGCCTCAATTAATAATATTTATAAATTTATAATGATAAAATTCCCAAAGTAAATATAAAAAATTGAAATGTGATTGAAATAAACAATTTTCTGGCTGGGGGTAAAGTCTTTTTTTTTTAGAGGGATGCGTTTGACATGTCATGCGTTTGACAAGTAATTGAATTTTTTCTCAGTATTATTGTTTTATTGACATACCTCAGCAGCACATCCGTTGGTCGCTGTGTGCGTACAAGGATTTGGACCGCAATTTGTACATGCGATGATCTCGTTCGGCTCATTACCACCAGCTGTTGTATTTCCACCCTCTCGTTTCTTTGTCCCCTACGACAGGGTCCGGGTAGCAGAATACTTATACCAATTAATCTTACCTGAAGGCATCCACTTTTTCCAGATTTATTTAATCCGATAATTACTCTTATTTCATTTCTCATTTCCATCCGGAAAAATTATTACCAAATTTTTAAATCCTACCCCTATCCACAATGTATACTATAATTACACATTATAATTTTTGTAATTAATATTAATTATTAGGGTATTAATCATTGATTAATTTGAATTGAGAATGAAATTGTTTTTTTTCATCTCCAATTGACTTTCATTCAGCAATAACTCGATAATCGCAGAGTGAAATTTCAAAAAAATATTCTCATTTTTCAGGTATTTTTTTTATTTTTAAAAATGAAATTTGATTCGCTGAAATTGCACTGTTGGATCAGGAGATACTGAATACAGACAATTGATTTAACATCGCTCTCTTCCTTATCAATTTTCACTCAATTTCCGGATGGAAATGGGAAAAGATGGAGTTGTGAGAAGTTTTCCCGTCGTGTACATTATTGCGGGAACTCTGATGCTCCTCTCACGGAGAATTTAAACAATTTAAAAAGCCATCGCACGGAGAAAAAGGGGATCCTTCACCTAGTTTTTTTTTTCCATGTATAATCAATCGATTTATCAATTTCGGGTTCAATAGATTTTTTTTCCATGCCTCTCGTTTTTTTTTTCTGTCAATAAAGGGCGACACATGCTGCAACACAATATTCTACGCTCGTGGCTTTTTCCAACGTTTACGCAATATTTTCTCAACTTTTTTTTAAAGAACAAAATGTTGAAAGAAATTGAATGAAGTAATGAAATAAGAACGCGATTCTTGGAGAGACTGAGTTAAATGAAAATTCAACCTTTGGACGTTGAAATAATTTTTTATCGGTTATGATTTAAGCTTTAGGAGGATCAATTGCTACTAAAAAAAGCTCATGAATTGGATTGAACTACTAAGCAATTCTTTATAGTAATTGAAAATAAAGCGATTTGTCGATGGTTCAATTTTGAACAGCGATTCATGGGTTGATAAATCATTTAATTTTTCTCCCAACCCACGGAACGGGCGCCATTTATGAAAAACTGATCCCCAAAAATTGTGATTCTATCGGGTCCAGTGATTTTAAACTCTTCGATCAAGTTTTTTTATTATTTTTCTTTCTTATTCTCGATTGAAGCAAATTTTTGTGTTTTTTTTTTGTAGATTTAATGATTTGGATTGGTGATGAAAGCAGTGCGTGAGTGTATTTCATTAATACACCATTAATTAGCAAACTTTGCTTGCACTGATAAAAATTTTCCACTCAATTGTCCGATAAGAAATTTTTTTCACTGCACGTCAAAAAATTTCATAATAAAAAATACAATTACAACCTCAGGGTGAAAAATATTACTTCATGGAATTTAATTATTAATTTTTGAGTATATTTTTTGAAATAATTCCCTCAAGTTTTTAGAAGAACTTGAAATTGCGGTTTTTCGTTCGGAAAATTGAGGGAAAATTTTGAAACAGTGAGGGTGACTAAGAAAAAATAAGCGAGGGATTTTAAAATCGCTCAACTGCACATGCTTGCTCAAGTATTATTGAGTTTCACTTGTGATTCAGTGTGTGACAAAGCCTGGGGAAGCTTTTGAGGTACTCAACAAATAAAATAACAGATTTTCCATTCAATCGGATGATCAATTGATTCCGCTGAGCGAGGAGATATCAATTTTATTGAGTGAATTTTTCATGCATAAATTGACACTCTCGGCGCTGGCTATCTCCTCTCTCTAGAATAAATAAATGTTGAAGAAATTCAGGTATGGTCGAGTCCTGGCGAGACAATAAAACAATTGTTTCAATAACAAAAAAATTAGGATAAATAACGCAGGATTCACTGTTGGATTTTTTGAAAAATTATCTTCAAAAATTCTGGGGAATCATAAAATTGAAAATTCCTGACACAATGAATTTTTATTCATTAGCAATTCGAAAATTCTTGAGACTTTTTCCATGCAATTAATAATTCCGTTATTGATTCCGTTATTTGTTTAATTATTTGTTTCGTTAGTCGTTTCGTTTGAATTTCATTCAACTTATATTTAAAAATATATCAAATACGTGTTCTACATATATTTTTTGATATTTAGATTCCAATTTTTCCCAATATTTATATTTTTTTTCCAACAGTGTACCACTGCTCTTTGAAAAAATGCGATAACTGGGGATTTAAACGTGAAAAAAATCCCAGACTAATTAAAATGCAGCGTGAGACGCCGATAAATGTTATCTCATGAAAAATTATAAACCGATTATTTATTTATCAAATGGGGCTGCCACTTTATCCATTAAAAAACTGAAATATTTACATCCTGTGTCCTCCGGCCTTCAAATGCTTTATATGCGATTGGGGATAAATAAATTGTAGGAATAATGATTTGAAATGTAAATTTGGGAAAATGGGAAACGTGCAGGATTTTTCAGGGAATTCTCCTCTCAGAGGCAAATGTCATATTTTTTTTTTTATTTAAACTCCTCCAATTTTGTTCTCGCTTGTTTCCGGAATGGGTGACTCACATTGTAGCTGACAGGATAATTATTTTTACTCAAAGGGAGTGAAAACTTCGTCTCCATTCTTGGGAGATGGATTACAACTAGAAAATTGTTTGGATATTTTTTTTTGTTTAACTGCGTTGTGCTACTTTGAATTATTTCATGGACATGAAATCGACCGCGGGGAGAGAAAAATCTGGCAAATATCAATCAACAAAGAGAAATCCATCAATTATTGCGTAATCCATTGATTTGCGGTGTTACAAATAATTTTCACCGATTTTTCAACAGATTTTTCTCCACGCGCGCGACTAGAAATGCGAAAACAGTGGGTGGAGATAAAAGTTGAAGAAAAATTACCAATTAATTACCGAAACGGGTGAATAAATTCAAATAAATAATCATTAATAATGAAAATAAATGAAAAAGTAATTTTTATGGCGATAAAAAAATTTTTTCACCCGACAAATGTTTTAATTTTTAATAAATGATAAATTATTCAAAAATATCTCCGACTTTTCCGATAATTTTTATTCAACTCTTCTCACCGTGTGAAAATTTGTTCAAAAAAATCTTTGAATTGTTGTAATAATGAAGCCCGGTGAAGATGCTGACGCGTGACATGCTTGTGAAATAAAAATAAATAAATAAATTTAAGAAGAAAAATTCAAGATACTTGTACTCTCTTCTTTTATTGTACTCTTCGCAAGGCAATTAATAACAATAAAGCCCGGAGGTTTTGAAAACATAATGCGTGGGTGGGAACCCCCGTAACGCTGAGTATCAATCATTGCAATTCATAATAATGAGACATATCAATTATAAAAATAACAATAACAATTGGTCAGCAAATACTGTTGCCACTGAGATGTCATTGCAGTATTTTTATTGTTAAGGCAATTTAGAGGCATTTGACAAGTTTTTTTAATTTTTTTTTCGTTTTTTTTTGCATTTTGATTTGAGACATTAGCGTATCGTGGGAACCCAAAGGCAAAGGGGGCTCTTACCAAGGGGCTGGCCAATAAAATCCCTATCCTGCTGAGCACCGCTGGAAGCCGCTGCAACATCACAGACACCAAACAAAGAGACTTACTCACCGCTAAATTCCACCAACCAAACTTATCAAATTCCTTTTTTCTTTTATTTTTCTTATTATCCAAATCGTTAATCTCCCTTAACCGCCGGATTTACATTTATACACACCCGGGTGAGTGAATGAACCGCTGCACTGAGAGAAAAAAAAAGCGTCCGTCACGCATTTACGCGATTGATCTTCAAGCAATTTTTTTTTATTCAAGTGCGAAGTGACGAGAGTCAATAGAGTCAATAGTGTCTCGTCTTGATGAAAATATCAACGCATCTGAAAATAATTTTTGGATTTTTTTGAGATTCTGGCGTTATTTCAATTTTCATCTACTTGATTGAAGTACGCGCAGGATTGATTCGAGTGGATAATTGATTGCGAATTGAATTTTCGAAGAATGAATGAACGTTTCGTGCCATGAATTGACAATTTCGTGGAAAGATTGATTCAAGAATCAATTTCGGCACTGATTTCAATCAAGAATGCATGCGTTTGATCGGCCATTTTTTTTTCTCAGTGTGATTTTCATCAGCCAAATTTATAATTTTTATTTTTCATTTTGTTTACTCCCGAAACCGTTATTTTTATCATCAATTTCGAATGCCGGATTGCTGCACTGTTGGAAAATTCTTGAAATCTCACACAATGTCGACTGAATTTTCAATCGTGAGAGTTTGAATTAATAAATAAAAATCTCAGTTTTTCGTTAATTTTTCAATTATTTTTCAGACCGTTAATTTTCCCGTTAATATCTCTCTGAGATGCCGTATTTCTGCGTACATTACATAAAAAAATTACCGCCGTATGAATGAAAACGCATGTCATCATAATTTTTGGTGCTTGCATCGATACATACTTTTAAAATCTATATTTATATTATTTACCGACTTTTATGGCGCACGCAGATGGAATATCTTTCTCTCATGCAACATTGACACGTCTCGCAGCATTATTTCATCATTACACGTTAATTATATTTTTCGGCGGCAAAACTAGGTTATTTCAGATATAATTTTAACAGGAAAAAATTCTATACCCCCAGACGGAAAAATATATTTCAAAAAATTGGTCTATATTATATCGAATTGAACATTTCTCTCAATTATCGATTTATCTCGTAAATTAATAAATAACATTCAACACTTTCTCTTATATTTCCTGCTAGAATTACTCGTTTTTTTTTTTTAGATAAATCGATGAATATACAAAATCGGCCTATATTACATATTTTTCCATATATTTTCCGACGGGGGTGTTAATGAGGAATTTAATTAAACTGTATCGTCCATAAAATATCAAATATAAAGATAGAAAAGTAGAAAAGTAGAGACATGCAAAGTCTGCAGCCCAATTTCTCTTTCTTATCGTTCCATTGTCAACGAATTAGTTTAAAGGTAATGGAAAATGAAAACGTAAAGTGAAAATTATTTCTAAATGAATTTTCAAAAATTAAATCCCGTCTCGTGGACTCGATCACGGGATTTTCAGGGGTCGTTGGGGAGAGGGTGAGGGGTGGGTGGGGGCGGAGGCAAGGGTCAACTCAAATAATTATACTTGTGACAGTAATAAACGTTCGGCAAAAAAAAAACAATTAGGTCGAATGCACGATTAACAATGAAAATCCACTAAATCGATATATAATGTAATTCAAGGGAAAATATATACCTATTTTTTTATGCGATGCCGATATTCACTGAGATGCAGCGGAGATCGTATTTAATATATATTTGTTTATAGATAAATTTATTAGATAAGAGTAAAGAACAAGTCATAAGGTGGTTTGTGCAATTATCACGCCAACAAAGTCACAAAGGTGCGCGGCAGAAAGAAGTTGTCGATGTAGTCGAGATGAAGTTTAAAAAAAAAATTCAAAATTCATTAGTTCTACGTATAAACGATTGTTTATGCTGTTAAAAAAGAATTTTCTTAATCTTATACTAAACATTTTCTCGATAACTAAAAAATTAAAACGAATTTTCAATGAAAAAAATTCTTTTCGAACACCAAAAAATTGGAATCCAACATGACACTTTTTTTTGTATGAATTAATTAACGCGTTAATTGATAATTCGATTTATTGTCTCGATTGCATCGACGTTGATGACGGGTTCTCGGGGGCACAGATGAGACGTGATGTGAGATATGATTTTAATTGTTATAATTAACTTTTGATAAATGTTCCGTTGTAAATCGTAGGGCCACTGGCTTTTTGTGGATTTATTTGGGCCCCAGGTTTGTTCCGATTTTCCAGGGATTAATGAGGTATTTTTTTTTGCGGGGGTGGGGTACATTGTTACGACGGGGTTTTAATTTTTTTTTGTGGGGGGATTTTTTTGGATTATCGGTGGGAGAATGTACCTGGGTGACGGGATTCTCCCCTGGACGATAGACGACGTTGTGAAGGGGTCTTTTACGTCCGACGTAATTGACGCAAACGAACTCAAGAAGGCTTGCGTATATGAAACACATGCATACACCATCCCATACGTTCATCGCAGTCAAATTTGAGACGACTGGTAGAGTTGAACGAAAACCATTCGACGTTGTGAAAAAGTTGAGCATTGTTGTTACACCTGAAATTGACAAATCAATTTTATTATCATTTTTATCAAAATTCTGTGATAATTTGCATTCAATTATGAATTATCGATTAAATTGAATGAATTTAATTCAAGGGAAATGAAAAATAAATTCAACCAGTTCAATTTATTTATTTATTTTATAACGCTTCCCGGGGAAAAAAAAAATTGTAATCGGAATAAATGAAAATTTATTAATGACCACTTACCAATCATGACTCTAGCTGGTACTGCATTCCACTCGAGCCAAAATGTGATGAACGAACTCGTTACCAGTATTATACCCGGTATGAAGACTGTTGTAAAGTAGAAGGCACGATCTCTAGTGAAGATGAGATCCACCTTGAGGCAGCTGTAGTTACCTGTTCATCCGTTCAAATGATAGATAAAAATCCTATTTCTATTCCACCAATTTACCGAATACATCTGGTTAAATTGATATTATGCTCGAGTGCTTTGGCGCATGAAATATGTTTAACTCTAAATCCCCTTTACATTGAAAAACCCAAATTATTAGACTTTCAGTTAAGTTTTGGTGTTTCGTTTTCGAGCGAGTCGTGCAATTATTCCATTGTCTTCCGGTGTGGGAATTTTTGACAATTATTTTATCTGCGGTCATTCGTTAATGGAGCGCAAAACATTCGCATGATTTGGGGGGTTCTAGGATCAATGCAAGCTGGCCTAAATCTACATTTTCTTTAACAATCGGGGGATGATTAACACATGCAAGACAACATTGTTAACTTGGTCGAATGCAAGTTGTTTGGATAATTAATTTGTTGAGTACTTGTCAATCCTAGATTTAGGCCCACTTGTGTATTTATCGAATTAAAGAACCCTTTCCTTTCGAGAGACTGAAAAATTTGATTGATTGATTTTCGGAAGAAATGCCTGAATGCATTTTTAGTCAATACACGGAGCAAAATCAATTGTTTTAACTTTATTTATTTTTTAAATAGGAAATCGATAATTCTCCGACATAAATCGATAATTAACGTAAATTGAGAAGCTGAGAAATAGTTCAGTGAGATGCGAAAATTTTTTATTCTCCCGGGGTTCAAAACATAATCGCAACGAGAGTTTATCCGAGGTGCAAGAGTGCTTTTTCGCTGCGCATTATGGAATATTCAATTCTCTTCGTAAATTCCGAGTGAATGTGACTCTGAAGGAAGAGTTCATTGAATATGCCATGTAAGTCGCGCGATGTGCCCTCCATTTTTCCCTTCGAAATATTCATAATAAATGAATAAATCATAATTTTTTTCATCCCTCATGCAGTGGTGCATCAGGAAAATATTCCGGATGCGCGTAACTCATGTCAATCGAATTATTTTCCAAATATCTGGCAACTTCTACTTAATTCCGGGTGAGGGAAGGGACTAACTTAAAGAGAAAATAATAAATCCGGGGGGATCAAATAATTGCGAAGAAAATTCAGTGATTCCATTTTCCCGCGGAAAGAAACGCGAAACAAAAAATAATTTATTATTGCAAATTAAGATGAAAATTAAGATGAATTTTTCAGAATTTTCGAGATTGTTTGTAAAAAGTTTTTATTGAACTTTCCGGTTGATCGGGAAAATTCAGCAATTTTTATAAACAATGCCGAAGTTAAATTAAAAAATTATTAATACTGATATAACTGAAGATATTACACTTAAAAGCTTCCGGGATACAAAAACAGCATCTGTCTCTCTATGCACTGCAAGAAAAATGTACTTTCGACAGAGAATAATTACTTTATGCAAGACAAGATTCTCTCAACTAAAAAAATCGTGATTTCTCATGATAAATAAATTTGCTCTCGCGAGAAAAAAGTCTTTCAAGAGAATGAGATTCTCTCGTCCCACGAGAATTTTCAATTCCTCTCAACACTATGAATTGTCCTCCCCATAAATTCACGGACTATATTCTGAATTATCTTTCTTCAAAATTTTAATTACGTAATCCCTTGGACTTTATCTCAATTTATCTTCAAATGATGAAAAAAAAAAGAATTATCGAAGACCTCACGATTTTTAATCAACAAAATGACGTCTTATTCGGAAGAATGTTTTCTTTCTCATCTTATCTGACACCGACACTCTCTCTGGGAACATCAAATGGTTCTAGACACATTCGTTGGTTAACGACATGAAAATGTGACTATTTTGCAAGCGACACTGAAGCTACAGTGGGATTATGGTGTAATACGGATTAATCACACTTGGATATAATCGTTATAATTTATTTAAATTTGGTAAACTTGGTCCTGTCTCCTTCCTGGCGGTTAATCCTCATTAATCCTCATTAATCCTGATTAATCCTCAATAAAACAGTGGGGAGAGAGCACTCGTGGAGATTGCGTTGAGGAAATCAACTCGTTATTTATTGTAATTTTTTGTTACTCAATTGTGAGATTATTGCACTTGATGGGGCAGAGGAGGGGTGGACGTGGGGTGGGAGGGGGTGGGTTTACCTTGCTCCTCAAATCTTCGCTGGCACAGAGAGCACTTTGAGTCCCCGAATTCATCGTACTCGTCCTCGTAGTCGACAATCAGCTGACCAATCAGCTGACCAGGTGCTGCAACAGAACACCCACCGTTCTTCCACCTAAATCTCACTAGCGGCCCACCCCCTAATTTATGGTTTTTTTTTATTTTCAATTTTATGGCTTGGCTTTTGAGATGTTTTTTTTGTCGGGGGAGGTTTTTTCTGGTATTGCGGCACCGCGCGGAGAGATCTAGCCCTCAGCAGTGATTTTTCGAACCTAGAGTTCCAGGAGAAGAAGCAGACCAAGTGTCCTACGTGGTTAGATTTTTTTTGTTTTGGCAATTTTTTAATAATTTTTTAAGTGAAGTTGGATAAGCCCAATTTTTTTGATTGAACAAATTGGATATTTTTGGAAGGTGTAATTGTGGAAGTGAGAGTTCTTGGAATTTATAATTTTTTTGTGATAATCAATAATAAATTATTTATTATAACATAAATGTTTTCTTTTGGGTTTGAAAAATATGAATTTTTGGATTGGATAAAAATCAAGAATTGAGAGATTTTTTCTGGGAGTGAAAAGCTTTCCTCGACATTGCAAAACATTTGATTGTTGATATTTGTTGTTCACCATCCGAACACCAACTTGTTCAATCTATTTTCCTTGGAGTAAATGAGCGGCCAGATGACTGGACAATTTAGCCATGACCTTTAGCCCATATTTTCTTCCACCCCGGTAATTACTCCCGACAATATTTACCCCAGGTAGGCCGAAAGGTCAGGGTTTTGTATCATTATTTCTCATTGCACTAATTTGTACCGTCTCCCTAACCACGTGACACTGGTTAATCAAAATTTTTTATCGATACAATAAATTTCGTCGATTGAATTAAGATTTTTTTAATTATCTCTTCATTTCATCAGCTCGGAATTTTTAAAGCGAGACAGGAACCAAGATTGCCAATGCAACCTCTCTCTAGGGGTACTACCAGGCTCATACCTTTATTTCTAATTAACAATGTGGCAACTAATCAACATGCGATAAACAATTTAGCAGCCCCAGACTATCAATTCATTAACGAGGAGATGAAATCGATTTTTCGAGGAATACCTCGGAATCTAATCGAGATAGCGAATTTTTCATTAGAACATCTTTTGGAGAGCGAAATGAGGTCTACAAAAAAGGTTATAATAAATATTTTGAGATCTCCTGTAGATTCAGAGATATTATTCGAAAAATTAACTACTTGCTAAATCGACTCGTTACTCTTCGCTACTGAAGTCGCTAGTTCTTTCTTTTTGCTTCGCAGTTTGTTTTATTCTGTTGGTTCTGTATGTTGTACCTTCTGGGTTTGACGTTTGATTTTTTTTTCCGGAGAGAAAAGCACGCAAACGTGAAATACACGCATGCACCCGATGCCGTGCAGAGATTGATTAGAATATATCCACATACTCAGGCGTCAAAAGTAATTTTCCATGAGCAGACTCACGAGGAATGTAAATTATTGCTTTTTTTACTGCGAAATTACCTTGAATTGCATGTTGATTTATTAATTTATTGAGAAACTTTCGAGAAAAATTTTAAGGAGTCTTATCTGACATTTTTCGACTTATAGTATTAAATTTTTTTCTAAATCTGTAAATTTCACTAGAAATCTCTATAAATTTTGTCCGAAACCCCTGAAACGTCTTATTGAATTTATCGAGTTTTTCATAATCAGTGGATTTTTTATTTTTTATTTGAAAAGAATTTCTCTCCGTGAGTGCCACTTCTATGGAAATAATGAAGTCTCGGATAAATTCGTGGGGAGAGTTTTAATGTTTTCACAATGGTATATTTATTTTGCGCTTAGAATTCCATCCTGTGTGAAATGGAAATGAAAATTTACATCTCCGTGTTTATGTGGATCTCAATTAAAAGAGTTCAAGTGTTAATTTAAATTTTTCTTTTATTTCAGTCTGAAAAAATAAACTTGCTTCACACCATTTATACTCGATGGGTCGCGCTGGTCACATCGCAATTAATTTTCATTAAAACTGCGAATAATCGCAGAGTGCTAACGAGCTTGCGTGCTTTAGCGACAGAAAGTATGAAAAAAGAAAAAAAAAAAAACAAAAATTCAGTGGTGAAATGTTGAAGTGAAATGAGTCGAATTTTCTGATGTCGTTGAAAATCGATTTATTTATAAATCTATCGACTTTAAAGAAAAATATAAAAAACCCCTTTTTGTTGGAAGTTTTAAAATGTCAATTTAACATTTCGTTACTGGATTAAAGTTGTAGAGAATGTGAGGGTTCAGGCACTTTTTGCTCAGCACATCGACACAAATACAAGATTCACATTCACCTAGTGCCTAAAATCGCTACTTCATCGTGCTCTCATTACGTGGAGGTACCCGGCCACACGGATTTTTTTTTTAATCTCAGCGAATTTCCCTTAATTTTTATGGATTTTTCAATTCATTTTTTATGGACTTGAAAACCTTGGATTTTCTGTAGTGAAAAATTAATACTGAGAAAAATAATGAGTTCTACTCATTAATTGATATCTGATATGCATTCATTTGACAAAAATAATCATTTTTTTCAGTGTATAAATAAAAGTCAAATTGCGAATCGAAATTTCCCGGAATTTTCCTAGAATTCAAAATATTTGTGATTCAAAGTTTGGAATAATGTGAAATGTATATTTGATTTCTGATTTTCCGAGATTTCTTCCCCGAAAAATTGAAATATCCCTCAGAATTAAGGAATTTTTCCCTGAGGATAAAAAAATTTTCATCCCCGTGTAGTTCAGTGGCAATGGTGCGTCGAAAACGAAAAGCAATTGTCAAATTCATTAGTAATAGCTTCATTAATCCACACCAAGTCCTCATCATGTTATTCGATAATTATAATATCCGACATATTCGGAGACTTACCTGAAAAAAATAACATAAACACCTCAATAAAAAAAATCAACCCTCCACCTGGACGTTCGAATTTCCAATTAATCCTCGCCTCACAAATCGTCACACCCAGAAAAATATTCTCCAAATAATTCCAATATTAAAAATTCCTAAATGCATCGATAAAATGACTCTCAACTGCTGGTGGAATTCGAGCCGAGAACAATTCATTCCTCTGAGTGTTCCCCTGCTCTTTATTTCCCGAACCCAATGTTGAAAAAAAGAAAAACTAAACAAAAACCAAAAAAATGTAAAAACAATCCGAAGGGATTTAAAACCCAACCTCCAGTGGAAAATTCGAATAGCCTTTGGGGGGCCTTTCTACCAGGATTATTGATCGAAATTTTCCGTACTTTTATTTTCCCGTGAAACTGAAAAGAAAAAAAAAGCAAATTGCAGGGGGAGGGAAAAACCGTTTTACGTGAACCGTGTGCAAACGTGCGAGGGATGAGCTCTCTCTGCCCACTTTTTATTCAGACACGGTTGAATTCTTGTGACCGTTTGCAATTCTACAGTGGAAAAATTTTTCCCATGTTAATTTCACGGTCAACATTTTCCCGACAATTCCGGTTGATGAGTGTTGAGAAATTCATTCGACTTGAATGAACTCAATCGGATTGGTGGAATTATTGGATAATTTATTTATTTGGGAGGAAGAGGGGGCAATGAGACCTGGGAAGGAATAGGAAATTGGGGTATGAGAGACGTTTTTTTTTGGGGGATGGGATTTTGATAAATTTGAACTCACCCCGCCAGCTGGCTTTTATCGGACACGTCAGTGTCTGATTCCTAATCAGGTATGCATTCAGGGTTGTTAAGCTTGGGCTTTTACGCAATGTCGCCTCATCGTTTTTCCATACGTATGTTATTGCCGTCTGCTCGTACGATACTGAAAAATCATAATAATGGATAAAGATTACGAGTTGCATTGGGTGGACCCCATCAACGCATCCGACACGTAAAAATTCCTTGAAATTTCAGAGATAAAATCATTGGAATTATCAATTATTTGAGGTGGAATTCAATTCAAAATAGAAACGGCCTGTAAAGTTATTATTTATCCGGAAAATATTAACAGATTGGGTTTTTTTTTTTTTTTGGGAAAGCTTATTTCAAATTTTTCCACTTGCAATTTATTAAAATTCTGCAATAGTGTATCCAATTATTACGAATTCCTATTGAGATGAGAAAAAATAAAATTTTTCATAACGTCAAGATTGAAAAAAAAAACTGAAGTATCTGTTTTGCCCTGTCGTCCCTCATCATCAATTCGAATGTGCGCTCGTGGAATGTAGAGTCGATTGGATGAGGGTAGAATTTAAGGTTGAAGGGGAATGGAAATGTTACACGTTCATTCGTCCTGGTGACGTTACATTGGAGGTCATGCAAAGCATTACACCGAGGGTTCTGCAGCTAGGGCAATTCATATCTTTCCAGGTCACGAGACAAACCGCGTGTGCGATTTGCCTGAGGAGAAACAGATCCTTCGGATTTTCACTCATTTCTATCACAATTATTTGACTATAATTTCCAGCAGACATTGTCCCGACCAAAAAGAAATTATTTCCAAATTTACCCTTGCATTAGGATTTTTTCATCCAGGATCGATTATTTTAAACTCAATACTCGTTTTTTAAAATCGATTTTCGCGGGTGAGAATGCGGAATATTTGATAGGTCTCCATAAAATTATGAATAAATTACGAGTTTATTTTTTATTTCATTCCTGCTTATAGGACATTTTAAAGAACCTCCGTTTAGCTTTCATTGAGGTGGAAAAACGTAAAAAAATGATCGTCACGTGATTTATAAAATAACTGGACGATCAATTCGTTCGTCGTGATAGATTCGACACTAAAATTTTATTTCGCGTGAAATTTTTATTAATTGCACATCTGTACCGGAATTATGATGATTATGGAACCATCAACTGTCCTCACGATACCTAATAATTCCACATAATCAGCACTTTTCATCTATATTTTTATGACTGAGGGGATGTACACAGCCGTTAATGTTATTACGGCGATGAAATGGGAGTGATGGTTGACCCCAGGGACTCAGAAATGATCCATTGATCAATAAAGATCCAGGAACCAGACATAAGGGGTGAATCTCGAGATGAGGAATAAAAATATATACTCACTGCTCTCGATGGCGAATGAACACTGTGGGTCGTCAAATGGGAATATATTAAGTCTACCCTGGCAGGAGAGGATGAGATGGCGCCTGCAAGAAAATTATGGGATTAATAGAACATGTCATCCATTACTGCGGAATCATACCACACTGGATTCATCAAATTGTGCGGATTTTTTTTTATATCTGAATTATAATTTTATTGTTTTTAATTCACAATTTAACATCCGGTAACCAAGAAAATACGTCTGCTTGATTTTAAGTTGTTTAAAAAATTGAAGGAGTTATGAATTTTATCGAAAAATTTGAATGCAACCATAAAAGAAATTTATTAACATTTATCAGTAAATGAAGAAAAAAAAAAACAGATTTATCATTTTTTTTTATATTACATACATATAATTTTTGAATATTAATTAATACTATATTGATGGTAATTATTGGTGGGAATTACCGCATGAGGTAATTGACGGTGCCATTTCGATAAATCCGTAGGGCGAAGTGGACAGGTATGAGAGGATCCTTAAAGTCCCCATGCATGATAAAATAAGTGTCCGGTAGCCAGATGTCATTGTGATGGTGTATTGCATTGAGGAACTCATATCTCGATCTGTTACTGTATCGCAAGCGTGGATCGTACCACTGCTGTTGCAGAAGGAATTCGACCTCATATTTCTGTAAAAAGATAAAAAAAAAAAGAACGGAAAAGGAAAAAAATGTCGGTGAACACGGAGGGATTTATTTATTAGGTAATCGAGGATAAATTTCCTGTGACTGCAATACTTGGAAGAATTCTTTTTTTCTTGTCAGGAATTCATGTCTGGATAGGAATTCGTTCACAAGCCGAAATACCGAATCAATAATTGACATCATATAATTTTCCTTGAAGGACGCAGCTTGTGTTTCAAGACAAATATTCAGACATGAATTCTTGTGCAGTCATTGACATTGACATGTTGACAAGACAAATTCACACGTTAAACCAGTATTCAACACAAAGGGCTCATTAAATTTACCAAGCTAGACTCGTCGGGTGACGCAAGACTCAGCAGCAAAACACTCACGTTGACGGTCAAGGTTCCTGAAACATTGGTAAGCACAAAATCAATTAGCAACAGCCAATGTTCAATATTCTTTCCACAGCATTAATCAACAAAATATCATTGATATGACAGAACATAAGCGCAGTCATCAGGCTCCTCCACTACAAATAAAACTCTGTGCTCACCTATTCTATACCAAAAAGAGAATGAAGTACCGCAGTTGTGCCTCAAGACTTCAACCTCAATAATATAGCAAATGAAAACGTAGGTCAAGTGAAAAATTAAAAAAAACACCCAACCGAAGTCAAGTAAATTGTCTTCAGATCGATGAGAAGTTTATTAACAATTTAATCATGGCATAAAGACGCCGGATCGAAGTGACCTTTTCGGTCCAAGGATTGCGTGCACTTCAAATTAGGATTCTCCTCATCAATACGTGTCACTGATTTCTTTTTTCACCCTTAATTCCAGAAGGGAGGGAAAATTGAATTTATATTTAATTTAACTTTCTTCATGTGACCGCGTTAACTTGAATAATTGAGTCTCACGTGCAGGTACTCTCTCCGCACTACCACGATCTCCATTTGCTTCTTGGAATAATTTATTTCACAGCCACAATTGTCGTGCGTGCATTTGAGGGCGACACATTATAATTCAGTGCATTTGTCTGATCAATTAGAAAATAGGGCGTGAGTCCTATTTATGTTGGGGCGCGAGTTTCAAAGGTGAACAATCATTTTATCCATTTTCTTTTTTTTTCAAAGTTTTAATTGATCTGACATATGTCTCGTGTTTTTCTTGCTCCAATTTTCTAATACTCATTGGTATTCTATGACATAGAAGCTAGTTTATGCTAAATCCTGGAAAGCCCAAGGTCATGCTGTGCACATGCGGCAGCACATATTAGCGAAACAACGCTGACTCGTAAGCTTTGGTTCAGCTTTTTTATTTTTTATGTCGTTTTTAGAGGTTCACTTCATCACGTACACACCGGGCTGATTACATTCATGTGACTAACGCAATTGTGCTCGTATAAGGGAATGAGTGAAAAATAATAGTACGTCTCGGTCTCGGTTATGACTTGAGGGAGAAAATCCATTGTCAGTCGAAATTTTCACCTCTTCAGGTGAATTTTCGCACACCTGGAGGAACCCCTCACCAAAGAATATATTTAAAAATATATATGACATAATTTCATACATTTTTCTCGATGGCCCAGGTGTAATTTTGAAGGTTGAAAAGATCTCTTGTGAATGGAATAAAAATAGAAAGAATTCACTCCGCCGTTCTCGAGTTATTGACGGTTTAAAGCGGTCTGTTTTAGTTAATTCCGGGTGAATATCAAGGAAAGTGGAAATACCTCCGGAAAACACGTACTTCCGATTTTCGTATGAATTTCCGAGTTAGTATTGCACTATTCTAAAACTTTGTGTATGGACCGATCGATAAGCGGATAGCCAATGCTCGATTCGCTTTAATTAATCCTGAGCTTAATTTATTACCGGAGAGAGAGTGAGAATAAAATATTGGAGTTTAATTATTTTCCAGTGTTGGAAAATTTCTCTTGGAATTTTCAGAACCATTATTTATGATAAATAATAAATTTAATTAAATTTTTATTTATAATAAATTGATGAATGATAAATTATAATCGATTCACTGGGGCATTCCTCGGTTATTTGTTATTGCTGATATTTAATTGTTGATAATGATTTAGCAATTATTTTTCAATCGATCTATTAGTCAAGTCAATGATTTTCCGAAAGCTTCAGAAATGAAAAAGCTCACCGCAAGTGCAGGGAAGAGATTATCAGAAGTAACAGCTGGGGTTTGTGGCTTTTAGTAAATATTACATATGCATGAAAATTTGAGATTAAATTGCTAATTATTATATGAGATATTGGCTGGGGGTTATATGTAAGAGTTTTTCTGGATAATGAACTCGCGGAAAAATTCACTCACTAATTATTTTCATAATTCACTCCAATAATTAATTCGTCGAAGGACAAATAATATTATTTTTATCGTTGATTGGAATTTTTTTTTTGAATTGCAAGTGAATTTTTTGGGTTCATGAAACAGGATGAGGTGCCGTTGTAATTAGTATGTCCCGCCAGATAGGAAAAACACATCAGGAAAACATCGAGCACTTGACACTTTGCGGATCTCCGTGATTATGACAACAAAAAAAAAACAACGCGTGACAAGGATCTCTGTGATATGGAACAGAAATAATTCAGGGCTAGTCTGAGGTCGAGCGCCTGCAATTTTTCTCCGGTTGACATTGAAAATTCGGAGTCATTAATACTAAAAATCTTGAGAATAATTAGCATTTCAATAAACCCGGTGAAGGTGTCATCTGTCAGGACTCGAAGAAAATTCAGTTAAAAAATAAAAATGATCTGTCTTTCCCATAATATCATTTTTCAATTTTACTCTCATTTTTTTTTCTACATCAAAAAAATTTTTCGCTCACATAAAAAAAAATCCGTGAAATTCAAAAACGTGAATTAATAATTCTCGCCCAAATCTCCAATAACAGACAAAAAAAGGAGTGAGTAAAAAAAAATGGCCGATGACACGGTCACCTGGATTGGCTGTCCTTTTTTTTGCATCGATCGACCTCTTCACCCTGGGATCGATAACGCAGCTCAGTAAGTCAACGAGTTTACAAGGTGATTTCGTCATGCAATTTTTATGCAAATGAGAATCAATAGGACTCATGTACAAAGAAATTCGGCGAATTAATTGATTTATCGGCGCGGAGGGGGTGCGAAGGACTCGACCGTCTGGAACTGCGTTATCGGTTTGATGAGAGGATATTATCTAATGAGGTTTTTTCCATCGTCTTTCTTATCAATAAAAGACACTTGGGACGGACCGCGAAGGTGAGTGCGAAGGTGTTGGTGCGGCGTGTAGTGGTTATTGTTCTGGTTCTTGTTCTTGTTCTGCTTTGGGTCACTAGGGGTTGCAGACTCGTTAGTCCGGGCGATAGTGTCACCAGGCGATCGCAATCCACAGCAGAAATCCGCATCTGTAACACCCAACAGCCCTTGCCCACGTCTCATCCATGTAGACAACACATTTCACTCTATTTTCATTTTTTTTTTATCATTTTTCATTCACACTGTCACTTGTCATTGGTTGATCAACACAATATGCTGACCGGTTCTTGAATTTTATTTGTCATCCACACGGCGAGAAATAAATCGAAAATATGAATTGAATTATCAAAAATTATCAATAATAATAATACTTCAAGGAAATATTTGCTTCAATCGAAGTTCAAGGGGCATTTTATTTATTTTATTCTTGGATATCGATCGATCGAAAATATTTTAATAACACAATGCAATATTGAATGAGAATTATCTCTTGACAGCTGATTTGCGAGTGGAGAATATCCTATTGAAAAATTATAGAAATTTTCGATAATTCGGGGAATCGCGGAATTTTTTCGGAGACCTCTGTAATTTTTACTGAATAGTTCTCACCGTGTGGATCCAATCGGTAATTTACAAGATTAAAATCATAAATTATGAGTTTGAAATTGTAATTCACTTTAATTAGTGATGATTGATGGACTGATGATGAATGGATGATTGAGTATTGGCGATTATTTATTAGTAATTTGGTTTTGTTTTCGAGATTTTTCGGTCTAGCAAAATTTTTCTCTTCGCTTTTACCCGTTCTTATTGTTCACAATCACAATTGTTATCTAATTATCCTGAATAAATTCTATTCGCGATACTTTAATTTTTAAATAAATTGCAAAATGAAATCGTAAGGTCTAAGTGATTGATCGGGAGATTCTCACACGAGACGTATTGATTAATTGAAGGTATGGATTTGTCTCAGTGCGGTATGATGTCATACCGTCAAGTGGTTAGAGTACCAAAACCCCTGGAGTTGGTTAATATTGGCCCAAACCAGAAGAGTGATCCCACTAAAACCAGTAAAGACGAGAAATTGAAGTGTCTACCCCCCGGGGAAGTACTTACAGCGTTTTGGAAATGTTTCACCCATTCATTTCCACTCCCTTTTTCTGAAATTAGGTCGACCCCGGGGATATTTGAAGTCTGAAAGCCACGTCGACGGCTGCCAACGGTTTAATGAACACTGAATTATGCAAGCTGCTTCTCTGGATGCCCCTGGACCTTCGTGTCCATAGAAAAGAATATTTAACTCCAGATTTCACCTCCACAATGGAATAATCCACATTTTCCACTTTTATTTCATCGACAGACTCCATTTATATAGCATTTTTGTGCACAAAAAAATTCATTCAATAGATCGCTTACTACTATTTTTTTTTGCATTGAGTTGGTTGATATAATTAAAAAAATTAAACGTTGAAGATGTGAATTGAGATTATTCGAAATGGAGTCGTAGATTTTTTTTTAAATTTGGATATTGTGAAATATAAATTTTGAATGATCAGTCTTCTGGTTGCGGGACGGAGACAACGGAATTGCATAGAGAAAATATTTTAATTGATCCGTGATTTTTAGTTGAGTATCTTTTGAAAATTGAAGAATACGATTCATAAATTCTCCATTTTATGTCAATAAGAAAAAAAAAAGAAATTTCGGCCACAAGGTCATCTGAATTTTTCATTATATAAATTTCAATTTAATTGCAATTACAAATGGCCAAAAAATTTTTCATTTATCTAGACAATTCAAGAATATTTTTTTTAATGAATGCTTGAATTTTCAGGCCCATCGTCAAAATTCTACATCAAATAAAATTCATTTTTCAATACATAAAAAATTCCGAAAATGTATTGCTTAGAATTTCACCATTTTCCTGAAAATTCCGAATTACTAAAATATTCAGGAAATTAAATAATTCCTCAATAAATAATTCTCCATAAATTTCCTCCAACGTCATCATTATGAAATTAAAAAATTCTTCAACTCGAAATTCCCCGAGTAATTTTCTGAAAGCGTAGAGTGCAATTGCCGAAAATGAAAAAGTCTCATATATTTTTCTCTGTGCAATTCATGAAGAAGAAGATGATTGTGTCGCAGTGAGTGATCCGTAAGATGTTCATTCATTCCCCAGCCCAGGGCACCTTCAAGTAACTGTCTTATCACGGGTACCTCAAGGAGTTTCTCAACAGAGAACCCGACAGCTAATTGGATTCTGATGTAAATGAGACGACCGAGACACTGGTGAAAACGATGGTGACGTTGTTATCTGAATGGGATGAATTCCAGGGTTTTGTTGGGTGGAAGGATTAATTAGTACTCGCAGTACTCACAGTACTTGCAGTACTCGGAGTTTAGTTGTGAGGTGTTGGATCGAATGAATTCGGAGAAATACTGAATCGTTCAAGTTAATCCCCAATGTCTCATCGCTCCAATTACCCCTATTTTCTATTCATTATCGCAACAGACCAGTTTGACGGGTTTTTCTGATTTTTTTTCCTTCGTGTTTTTTTTTTATTCAAGGCTATCAACAATTTCTACTTAAGCTCAACTTTGCAAGCTCTTACTGCGGTGGAATATTGTGTGCTCGACTGCTCCCAAAGTCTGTACCAATTGATTCATAAGCTTTCCGTATCTCCTAGATTATGCGAAAGCTCAAAGAGAGTGAGACGGATTTTTTTATAACCGCTTGTGTGCTGTGTGATTGGCCGTGCCGAAAATACTCTGATTGTGGCTGGTTGTTACATTTTTTTATGAGGGACTTTATGAGGGAAAATTTTTTCAAAACCTTTCTCAAAAATAAAATTGTTTTATTTTCCGATTTCTTTTTTAAAAATTTGGAAAAAATATTCCGATTACAATTTTTTTTTTACCCGGATAACTAAATATTTCTCAAACGTAATTTTACCTCCGCAAGGACTTGCTCGATAAATCTCAGTTTCTCGATCATGGCCTCGACCAGATAAATTCCACGGGTTGACATTCCAAAATCCCAATCGCACGATTGCAATAATCGACATCCGTTAACAAGCCAGAGGTTGTACCTAAACATAACGAACACCGGCCGAAAGTACAGTAGCAACTAGTGCCCTAGGGGGCGGAGTACTTGGTCTGTATTTGGCATTATATACATGTTAACCCCTCTTTGACGCCAAGAATGCATGTACACAGAAACGTGTATAATCCCCTGGAGGGCTTGAGAAAGACAGCTGAAGAGGGATAGAACTCTTCTGCACGTTGACTCTCAAAGATAAAGGGGAAGTGCTGAGTTGCTGTATTTACATCGTTACCAGACAAGAAAGTCGAGTTGAAGCTTATCCCCAGAAATTAGCCTTTCAGATACTGGCAAATGAGTATGCGATTAATTAATTCCCCTGAAAATATTATCTTTTATCATTTACCGATGATAGCACAGGTTTATGCACCAGAGGTTGCTAATTGTTCTATAAATTTGGCAAAACTTTACACTTGAAACTCCGTGTCTTGGCGTTGATATCTGGCAACGGATGAATGGCGGTGTTAATCGCCTGTGAATCCACTCTTGTACACAACTGTCGTGACAGCTGCTGGATCTCAATCTTCTCCAGTGCCATTAATAAATTCAAACGTTGACATCACTATGCTACATGTGCCTGACGCACATCCCACGGGAGTGAATCATCCTGATGAGGACCGGGTCCTTGCAATTTCGACGTGAGAGAAATTGGTTATGTGCAATATTCGTCGAGAAGAATAATCTGTTCAATCCTAAACCTAGTAAACCTAATTTGCATCTGCTGATAGGAGAGTTTGTTTGGATGCACCTTGAATTCAGTAGTTCTTGTCAAATTAGACAATTGATTACGGTGAGAAAGAAAATTATCAGGTATTTATTAATTGTCATTCACCAGATGATAAGAACACTCAGCGCGTTATCGGAAGGTCCCAGGTTCGATCCCCGGGCGAGAACATTAAAATTATTTCTCTCAAAGATTTAATTTCAATGAATTTCCGGAGAAGGCAGGAGGCGCACTCATGTTTGGCGCCTGGCACATCAGGTACCTGATCAACCTGATGAAAAGTTGACCTGAATTTGGACTCGGATGAACCGACAATCAGAGCATTTTCAGGAACGCGTGCGCCGCAGTTAAAGTCCTACCATACCAGCCATTCAAATGGCGGGCGGAAAAAAATGGTAGACATGTTGACCATCATCTCCATCAACTAATAGCACTCAAAAAAATGATAATTCTCTCGCGTTTGAATAATTCTAGCCTGATAATTGTTCTGTTGCGCATGTTTTCGATAAAAAGATACCCTTTTGACGAGATGTGAGCAGTGAACTGTGGTTGTGTCGTGCTGTGTGATGGTATTGGTGCCGATGATGTTCGAGGTGCTCAGGGTAGTTGGATGATGGTTGGTCATTGGGTACAAGGTGATCAGTTACGTATTCGTCTTCACGTGTGTGGGGTGGGGGCCGGAGTGTACCTTGGACCGGTGGTAGAAGCCGCTTGTCGTAACGCGTCGACAGCAGCAAGTTGTCCAGAATCTCCTTGTCCGATTTGCCCTCCTCGAAGCTGCAAAATACATTTCCCCAGGTCAAATAATCCCACATCGTTACGACATTTTTGCCACATCTCTCTCTCATCGATTCTTTTCTCCTCGTCTTTGATCATTCGGACATAGAACCTCAGCTGTGCGATGCACTATCCAAATCATTACTAAACTCTAGATTTGCATCTTTAATTGAACCAACAATTGTCGTACAACTCAACTACAGACTCTCTTCGAACAATATCTAGCTGTGAAAATCGAGGACAAACCTCGGGTTTTCTAAAAAAAAAATAATAATGATTGTCTGCATTTAAATTCTCAGGTGTACCAGAACTTTGTGTGTCTATCGGCTTTAGACTACTGACTAGAATTCGAAAAAAAAAAACAGCTTGATGCATATTCATGAGCAGATACCACACACTCGGGTGTAGTTCAGCTCGTTGCAATTTAGATAGTGTAATATTATTCAGATGTTTGAGGTGTCTTTGGTAAATGTTTGGGTGTGGAATTTTGGTGGGGCATCGGTAAATTTTGGTTTTTGTTTGATGATAATTTGAATACGTACATGTCCTCGGCACGCACGAGGGTGGCTAGGGTGAGGGCTAGGGTGAGGACAAAGAGGGTGGTGAGGATGAAGGAACTTGCGAGGGAGGCGAAAGACAGCGAAAGGTTGGATGAGAGGCGGCAGCCACCACCCGCACGCCGCCCTAGCGCCACCCAACCCATTCTATGTCATCTGAAACAAAAAGAGAGACACTTCATGACGATTTAATTAGATTTTTTCCTTGGATTTTATTAAGTGGAGGTCTAAGGGGCGCTGGCCAAACCGCCCTCCCCTCCCGCCCCTTCCACCTCTAAGATTCAGCACTGGAACATGCTCAATTCGAAGGGAGAATCGGTATCAAAACGCCCTAACGAGCTAACGGATTCTCGTCACTCTGACGAGAGGAAATCGCAGCGACGATTTTCAACTGTAACTCGGGAGGGGCAAAATATACAGTGAAGTGAGAAAATACCTGGTTTAATTGCGAGGCTCTGATTTTAATTGGTCGCTATCGGGTTTGGTTTCCGTCATTGATCCCGTGATGAGCCGTCCCCCGTTTTACGATTGAATTAACCCAGATTTTTTCATCAAAAGCCCCTACCTCAGTATTAATATATTCCCGGAATTTATTAGCGCGGTGATTTTTTATTTTCCAATATAACGATGGCGGAAACTTCATTGTGGGTCTTTGTAGATTTTATTAATTTCACGATCGAATCAATTTTACAGGTTTTTATAGCGAAGTGAAAAATAAGAGCTGTGATAATTGTTATTTGATAATCCATATTTTTTATTTGGTCGTAAAAAATTCTGTGGAATTAACCAATTTAGAAGGAAAATTTATGAGAATGGCTTTCGTCAAATGGATTTAGTGAATACAAAAATCTTCTTTAAGTCTTTTTTTTTTCATTCCAAAATTAATCCATCAGAGCGATTCTGCTGATCCATCCAATTCCAGATGTTGACGAGTTTCTTCTAATCCCCGGATTTGAAATTTGGAAAATGGAGACAAGTATTCGTGACATGGAAACATTATACAGCTTTGTAAACAATATTTCCGCGAATTTTCCTCAGACAATTGCGAAAGGTAAAACTTGAAAACCCACAAGATGGTGCAGTGAATGGAGAGTTATAAGGATTACTCTCGCATCGTTGAACCAACATCAGGTTAACCTGACGTTTGGAAGTGAACACTGGATGAGAGTTGGGGTTGAGGTCGGAAAGAGCTTGCCTATTAAGTTTCTCACCAGACGAGTTTACCATAGCACTTGGCGGCAGGAAAATTTCACGAGTTTCGTTGACTACTTAATATTGCATTGAACACCTCTTCCGGTTCACTCGGCATCATCACTCCATTCAACACCTGTCACCTGAAGTACTAAAATCCCCCAACCAACCCCTCACTTCCAGGGAACTTTGAATTTTTATCGAGTTCCTCAGCCATTCAGTGTTTCTCATTTTTATCAAGAACTATTGGCTTCACGGGAAAATATCAAGAGATCTTTTTCATCAGGAATTTAATAATTTAATTTAATAATCATTTAACATATCCGAGGCTAACGTGAGAATAAATCGAGCCTAGTTCTGCTGTATGTGTCGAGTCTGGCTTCTAATCCATCGGTAATTCCTTTATACCAATTGGCGGGAGAATAGCCGATGAAAATACATCGAGCGCCACAAATGACAAACTACCTCTTTTGCTAGTGTCCTCGGATTGTGAAGCCCTTTTAGTCTCCGTGGACAGAAAAATATTTATAAAATATCATAGAGAGAAAAAAATTAAATTCACAGAAGAATAATCTACAGTCAAGCATATTTTGCATTAATATATTTTATATAATTATTTTAAAAATCTTTTATAATTAATTCAAGTATATAAGTTGTACTTTAAACAAATTTCCAATATTCTGTAATTGCTCATGTGAATGCAATAAAATGTCTAAAAATAATATTAATGTTTCGGTAAATTTAATCGAATTTCCAACATTTCCACCATTTTCTTCGGTAGATCCGACCAAAGGGAAGGAAAATCTCGTAGGGATATGAGATAAATCGGGGTAATTAATTCAAATGGCGTATTAGTGTCTTCGATCTAACGTTCGACTGTTGCTAATTGTTCCCTCGCGGTCCATTGACCAATCGTGGAAGCCGATACATCGGGGAATGGGCATTAATGAGGCCAATGAGCAACACGAGCCTCATTACACGATACAGCTGATCAACAAGAGTACAGTCTATGGAACGTGCCTTGGTTCACACTGCATTTCACTCGTGTTGGTAAAAAAAAGACTCCATTTTCCCACGGTTAACACTACACTATTAGAAAACTGTACGTGAAATTCGAGTGAAAATTTGAAAATTTTACCGTCGACAACGTGAAATGGAATTTCTATTGAATTCTTTAAAAAAAATCGGGAAACAAAAAAAAATATTCAAAAATTAATTTCGGAAATAAAAAAAAATAATTCTCTAGAAATTTTTGCGAATATAATTTTTTCTTTGAATTATACTGTTGTTTTCTTACCTTTTTTCAAATTTTTTCAAAACCTTTCCCAAATGTAACATTGTTTTGTTTCCCGATTTTTTTTTTCATAAAAAAAAATTCTGAAAATTCTTCCAGAAATTTTTGGAAAATTTGGAAATAATATTCCGATTACAATTTTTTTTACCCGGGTACTCCACCTCTCTGTCAGTAAAAAAAATAGGTTTGATTTTTCTTCTGAGTGGCAAGTGAATTTTTCCCGATTGACTATATATCGAATTCCCCAATAGCGAAGCGAATGTTGCCGGTTCGTCTACGAATCACATTCGCATGGGGAAGTGTCTAACGAATCAGCGTTCTCAAGGGAATCCCAAATATTCGTTCATGGATTACATTCCCAAGTGTCGAGAATAAGCCCCCTGGGGATTCAAATACTCGCCGACACCCAGACACTTGAGCTTTTTGACGGCTCAAACTCCCACGGTCAAAAGCCAAAGCAATTATTCCATTACGTAATTTCCCTTTTTCCCAATACCCCATGTTTATTCGGTAAAATCAAATAGCCAGCGGACGAAAATTACGCCAATATTCCAGAATTGCTTCCATAAATAGCTGATCATTTCAATTACTATTCATTTACCAAATGACTTCCACGAACCCAATAAATTTCACTTCTTACTTCCGCTGGAACAGGTGGTCAACTTTATTTATTTACCGTAATTACTTCTTTGAAATAAAAAAAAACAAACCAACAACAAAAAAACAATATACGAATTATATTCAAATTTTAATCCATATGTATACCCTTTTGGGTTTTGAACGTCGAAGGGAAGAAAAGTTAAATAATTTTAATCAAACATTTCTCTTTGGATATGCGGATAATTTTTTAAATTCAAGCGTGTGAGCATTTTTTTAACTTCATCTTTTTAGCACATGACATTTTTTTCTCGATGTATTTCCATTTTTCTACCTTTACATTATAAATAGTGATGACTATTACTGACTAGTGGTAATGAAGTTTTGTACTCGTTCAACAGCTCGTGAAATGCCAACTCGTTAGCGGAGTTGGATTATTAACACAGGATTTAACGATAACTATACGGTAATCATAAACATCCGTCTGGAATTTCAACGATTTGCATCCCACTGTGTACCTTATACCGGATATTTTCCATTGTGGAGCCGATTTTTCTCGGCAATTTGGAACACCAATGATTTCTGAAATGGTGTGCGGAACGTTGGAGCTTTTATATCGCTTTTGTTTTACCAGGAGTTGGCATGAAATGCGACCCTATTTTCTCCCGAGGCTTTCTCCTTTATGACGAGTGATTTACCTTTTCACCGCATTTTCCGTTATAAGCGCCCATCGGCCATTCCTTCCGCGAATTCCGGACTCAATTAATTACGACAATAATTAGTGATTCTGGGGAATTGTCAGTCTGTTGATTTCCAATTTTCTCCAAGAGAAGGAATTATATCATGTCATTTTCTCTTTAACAAGTCATTTCAAAATTTCATTCAACAAATTATTTAAATTTTAATTTTTGTGTTGTAAAATTTTTGATTATCACACGGAGAAATTATATATTTTTTTTTAATCGATGAAAGTAGCATTTTTTTCCAAAAATGTTTTTGGAAAATTTGGAAAAAATATTCCGATTACAATTTTTTATTCTTCCCAAACATTTTTCAATTATATTTTTTTATAATTATAATCCTAAATATTATACCCTCAATTCAATAAATCCGAAAATTTTTAAAGACATTTTGTACTGGCGCTGCAATTGGGAAATTGAATTCTCCTAACGTAATGTAACGAGAATACCCCATTCATACCTTAGAAATCTGAATTATTAACTCAGAAGAGAAGCCTTGAAATAGACTCGAGTCATTTACCCGAGGAACTTATTCCACGAAGCTTTCCATATAATTGCCTGAAGGGGAATCCTTCAATTATGGAAATTAATTTTCGTAGCGAATGGGCTTCTTCTCCCAGTAAAATCTCATCACGGGACCTTCCAAGTGTTTGGCCGTTGATAAAAGACCGGAAACGAGTGGTCAATACGACTGATTCACCGAATTATTCATTAAAAAATCTTGTGGAAAATGAAGAAAAATCCCAGTGAATTTATGAGCTATTTTCACTTGACATTTCGCGGGCTATTTTAATCTCTCGAAAAAAACCACATTATAACATTTTCCGAAAATATTTTTTTGTCGAAATCATTATTGATTTTATTATAATTAGAATTATTTAATTTTGGGGTAATCAATTTTTCATTAATTAAATTTGAGTATACAAAATTGACATTAGGTGACTATTTTTGAAAATCAATATTTTTTTTTTGAGGCGGATAAATTTTTGCATGAGGATTAATATAACAATTTGCATTCAAACATTTTACTAAAGGATTCCCTGAGTGCAAATGCAGAGTAAAATTGTATTGTCTGTTCTAGCAGCACCTGCGAAAATTAATTCAACGATTTTTCCGCAAGTTCATATATTCCGTGACTCCATACTGTGTAATTTTTCATTTCGATAGAGAGAGAAAGGTCCTGCAAATTTTATTAGAAGCGTGTTGAGACTTCAAATGGCACTGCATTAAATATAAGCTGGAAAATTCATTTAATTATTCATTCCCTCGCATTCTATTTCGAATTCCACAATTTTCACGGGATTGTGGAGATAAAACTGATCGAATACTCGGGATAATGTCGTCATTCTGACCATAAGCAGGACTATAACACGTACATATGAATTTTTACGATTTTACGTCCCTTTCACAATTTTCGCGTGCAACTTCATAACCTCGCGAGTTCAAATAAAATTCTCGTAAAATTTCCATTTTTTTTTGCCAAAGTGGTGATGAAATATTGATTTTTCGGAGAAAGTATTTGTTTTAGCGATAAATATCAAAAGATTTTTTTCCCTAGAAATTTCGCCAGCAATAAACAATATCTTTTCATATTTCCACGGTAACTCGATC